TTCTATAATTTTTTTGGATTTTGCAAAATTTTTAATTTTTTTGGTTTTTCTGATTTTTTTAATAGCTCTTTCTAATTCAGAATTGTAGGGCACTAGTCCTTTAGAACATGAACTACGCATGCATTAACATAAAATAAAATAAAATAAAATAAAGCATACAAAATAAGATACAATATTTAAAGTTTAAATAAGACTTTCTAAAAATAAAAATTTACTTAGTTTTCTTCCCCGGCTACGGCGCCAAAAAACTTGATACTTGGATATTTAATGCTCATGCACAGTATAACAATAGTTCTGATGGTATTTTTCTCCAATTCTATAATTTTTTTGGATTTTGCAAAATTTTTAATTTTTTTGGTTTTTCTGATTTTTTTAATAGCTCTTTCTAATTCAGAATTGTAGGGCACTAGTCCTTTAGAACATGAACTACGCATGCATTAACATAAAATAAAATAAAATAAAATAAAGCATACAAAATAAGATACAATATTTAAAGTTTAAATAAGACTTTCTAAAAATAAAAATTTACTTAGTTTTCTTCCCCGGCTACGGCGCCAAAAAACTTGATACTTGGATATTTAATGCTCATGCACAGTATAACAATAGTTCTGATGGTATTTTTCACTTATATTTCCTTATTTTGCAACAAAACAAAAAAATTGATTCTGGAGAAAAATAAGAATTTAACTTTTTAATTTATATATATTTATATTGGGATACTACGCAAGTATACATATCGTTATCAAGTAATATAGAACTTTTTGATTAAGACCTCAATATCGAACCCATATGGAAGATTATGCAATATGCACTTTTTAGAAAGTTTTTCTATTTTAAAAAGATAATTACTTAAACTAAAAATGATTTTTGTAGGAATTTAAAATTAAAATATTTTTGGTATTTTTATATTTTAACGAAACAGTAAAGAGATAACTAAAGTTTTTGTAGAAGAAAAGTACTTAATATGAAAATATCTTTCTTCTTATCATGAATCAGTAATAAGTATAGGAATTTTGTTGTGGAAGTATGCAAATTGTGTTGTGCCAAATAGGAGCAATAATAGTCTTTACCCTTACTGCAGATGCTATAAAGAACATTGGTTAATTTAATGTTTGAATAGCTTTAACCTGTCACTTTAAAGTCCTCTAACTCTACACCCTTCAATGAATATTTCCCTATTTATTTACACGCAATCATATAAATTACATTTCATTCATACAACCTCATGTGATTCTTTCCAATTGTTGACTGAGACAATACCAGCCTGGTTCTTACATGTTCTAACAACAAATTTTAACATCTGGATTTGCCAAATCAAGAAGTAAATGAAGTGCATGGATTTAAATCATCACAACTTCTTCCATCATTAAAGATCAATACTCTCCACAACTTCCATCCAAAACTTAATTACTTATCATTTTAAGAAGAAAGATAAAGAAAAGTACTCAGAATTCCACGGAAGAAAATAAAACCACTTTAGTTTAAAAGAAGAAATCATTGTCAAACCAACAACAAGTCTCGATTAAAACCAACAAGTCTCGATTAAAACCAAAAAGATAAAAACTTATCTCAAGTCCTCCACCAAACTCTTGAAGTTCCTTTGAATCTCTTCTCTTTTAAAATCACTCAAAACAAAATAACAAAAAGGATAAAGTAAATAAAAAATTGTTCCGGAAAATCTCTCTGAACTAACTCCCCAGAAAAAAACTTTCAAAACTTGTCAATATTTTTAGGACTCTTTTCTAAGTCCTCTCTTCTTTCTTTTTTATATTTTCCAAGAGGTGCCTTGGGATCTCTTCAAAATGTGTCTTGATTTGATGTATTTGCCCAAAAGATGCATCCTTTCATGATAATTTTCGTCCATGGTGGTTA